CCACCCCCTTCTTGACTGAGTTCAGAAAACTTGCCTTATCCACAGTCAGTCTGCCTGAGTTGTAGTGAAATCTTTATTTTTTTTTTTTTCCTTTCTCCACCTTTCTCTTACTCTTTGACATTTTCTCATGCTTTTTTCCTGAGTGTCCTGTTCTGTTAGAATGTTAAACAGATATGCCTTTTTTGGCATCAATATGCTCTGGGCCAACTCCTAACGCTGTTCTTTTAGTTTGATATTTCTTTTCTATCAACGACTGATTTAAATTACAACAAACAGCAGCTAAAATTAGTAACAGAGATCTGTATTAAGCTACCAAATTAAAGAAGACAATGTTCAATTCAGTCTGAATTTTAATTTACACAAGTTGTCCTTCTCTACAGTTCATACTCTGTGTCGAACACCACACCGTGTGGTACTTGGTTAATGGAAACAAATGCAGAGGACTCATAGCATATTTGAAGAAGATAAAACATTTTTTTTACCCTACAAAGTGATGCACACAAGCAGGTATTTTCTTGCACTTTAAAAATCATGTGGTGTGCACTCTCTCTAAAACAACTTTTTTCTCAAAAAATCACAACTCAAACAATAAGGCGACAGGAAGGTAAGCTAGCAACTGTTTTTAGCAACGGCGGGTGCAGTTGGAATGGCTCCCTAAGCTGTAGTCCAATCAGATGCCTCCAAGTGCCACGACAAGACATCAAAGATCTTGTGCTGCCAGTACATGCCAAGACCAACTAACAAACATCTACAATTTGAAATCCTAAGAGCTATCCACGGCTGAGTATAGGGAATTTTATAAAAGTGGAAGTCACTACTAGTCATTTATCCTAGGCCACACTTTAAAGCTTCTTTTAAAAATTGCTTCTTAGATTCTTCTAACTCCTCCACCCTACAAGGCGAGTAAGGCAGAGCTACTATACTAAGGCACAGGTACCAGCTGATGATCTGGATCAAACAGCATCTGACAAAGACTCAACAAGAAGTGAAACCGTATTCTTTTCACTAACGAAAAGCTCATGTTTATAAAGTGTCCTGATGGCCATTATCAGAGAGTGGAAAATATGCCTTGACAAGAATATTGTATTGACAATAAAACATTACCCTCAACTAACTCCATCTAAACGCAGTTTAAAAACACTTTATCAACCACCAGCAAACCAACAGCCGAGAACAACAACATGCCAGGTGAAGAAGACCATCACACAGATCTTGGGAAACAACAGGTGAACCCTTTGCAGCTAACTGCATCAATGGTCCTTGCAAGCCTGATGCCAACAGAGGTTCCATTGCTGATTCTCCAAAAAAATTCCCAGGCTTAAAAAAAGCTTAGATTCTAATTCTTCTTGCAGGTCAGCGACAGAGCATTACCACTGGAATTCAAAAAAGTTGGTTGATCATAACTTGTGAAAAAAAAATGCTTTTGAAAAAAAAGGGACAACAAAGACAGCACACCCAGTAAACGGTCAACTTCTCGGCTCTTCACAAATTCACTAAAATTAAAATATCATTCGCCTCTTTACACTACTATTCAACAACCAGCACAGAGTACAGTTCGAAAAGGTCATACAGTCATTTATGAAGAAATAAAGAAAAACGGCCCACAAAACCTTACTGTACTGAAAGTGATCTCAAAACTTAAAATGACAGGTTATCAATGGGTGGTACATGTTCCTGATTAAAACATAATAATCGTTTTAATATATGTTAGCTTAAAAACAGGGCACTCTAACATGCATGATATGGAGCCCTGCAGTGGTTTTCTGTAAAATAAACAGTGGTGTGGCTTTCGCATGATGAAATGTACTGAACAGGATATAACTTGGTTGGGCGTGTAATCTTGAGAGTGATATTGAATTTCAAGTTTCTGAAAAGAAATGATAATGAGTGCATTTCGTTTTTGCAAACAAGGAGATAAGATGAGAGTACAAAAAAGGGAATGGGTGGGAAAGGGAAGGACGGTTGCTCTATAAAACAGCCAACTCAGCAGTAGTTGATTTTTTTTTTTTTATGTTTGTATGAAAATAGAAAAGTAAACATGTGTTAGTGTAGTTTATCAAGCTTAAAAACAGTTTTTAAGTTGCCACTTCACTATGTCAAACAACACTACACACAACATGAACGCAAGAGAAAAATAATTTTACGTCTGTGTTGCAAGAAAAGTATCAGCGCACAACTTAAAACTTAAAGTTAAAGTATGTGGTATGGCCCGTCAAAATAAAACATATTGGACAAATCTGTGCACAGATAAACTTTGACCCTGAACTTGGATTCTTATACAAGGACCTATGGATCTCTGTGCTTCTGGGAGGAAATTCGTCCTAAATTTAGTCGTCTTCATGGAGCATATACTTTTACTTTTATTGCCTACTCTGAGAAAAGTGTGTGTTAGAAGGGGTGAGGGTAACAGAGGGTATGAGATATTGGTTCTGGAATTTTATGAAAAATTGTATTATATGGCATGTACTGATTGGTGTGTGTGTGTGTGTGTGTGTGTGTGTGTGT